TTCAAATACTAAATATGTAATGTCAATAATCGTAATCTAAATTTTAAAGAGATCGATTGTTCGCAAAACATGACACGCAAACTATTAGAAGTCATACGGTGAGACATTCCGCAGCAGCACGTGTCTGCCGCGAAAACACGTGTTTCTCTCTCCTCTCACCGCGCATGGAAACATTCACCAAAGTCGTCTGACAGTAAAGAGTAGGAGTAGCGCAAAAATGCACGAGATCATGAGAATCAAATATGAACAACTTAATGCTACAAACAATAAGATATCACAGGGCGATTCCACATCTCAAGAACTCATAATTATAAGACTTGATAAGTCGTAACAATTTATTATATTGCGTTACCTATTATATTCATCTATTTAGATTATTATGTGTCAATATTACGAGATTTGACATCTTATAATAGAGAAAACGCGCTCAAACATTTGAATTGACATCGCAATAAATCCATATGGAATATATGGAGACACGTGCGAATTTATTTGAACTGACACACTGAATGTAAGCGAACATGTTTATTTCGTTTCTCCCGCGTATATTTACATAGTGGTCGCACGCTTTCCAATACGAACACGAACGCGTCACGTTTAGTAAACATTCTTTTCAACAAGATTAAAAACTCGTTGGGAAACGTTAAAGAAAAGAGAAATGCGATTGACAGATGTCGAAATATTAATAAGTATCGGACGAACGAAAGAACGATCGAAATGTCGCATTCGCGAGGTACACAATTGACATATGTATACTTGTGCGAGGAAGAAAAAACGACGACGAGGACGAGCGATCGGAGTAAACTACTGTACAGAGTGAAGAGAGGTTAGAATCGCCCTTCGCGATGTTCATGAATGGAATGCACTTACCTCGTGCGCCCGTGGATGCTGATGATCGCAGTGCCGGTGCTCGAACATCCCACTCACAAGACTCGACACAGCGCACACTGCAAGCAGAACGGCGATCGGTGACACGCCGATGCCGCGACGAATCTTCAACCGCACTCTAGCCGCCATCACAGACGATGTTCGCACTTGCAACGCATGATACATACTGAGCGCGCCCGCCGGTGCCGCGCATTTATATAGCTAACGCGGCGGCAGGCAGCGCCGCGCGACTCACGTTCGATACCACGAGCGCGACGACGCCGGCGGAGGAGGCTGCACTCCGACGACGACGACGATGATGATGCTGTCGCTGGGATAAACCCTTCGTCGTGAAAAACCTGAGAAGAAATCACAGCATTCTCTTAGACGACGTGTGTCTCGCGCTTTCGATCTAAAACTTTCAATTCAACTTTCAATTTAACATGAATTCATTCTTTTTCTTATTAAACGACTGGTGAATGAATAAAAATATATATATATAAAAAACAAAGCAAATATTTTTAATATAAAACAATTTGTTGAATAGTTGCGAAATTACAAGCAACTGTTTTGGTTGTAATATTATTAAGTTTACATGTAAAATGCAATAACTGCTGTTTTATAGCTACGGATACGATCTCTACGGTCTGATTGTCGTGACATTGTTACAAGAAAAAGTTAGTAAGACTTAATTTAACATCGAAATCGTCGATGCATCTAATGTAATCATGGTTTAACCTCGTGGAAAAAGTAGAAATCCGCTGAATGCGCAACTCGGACAGTTATATATAAATTCACGAAAAATATAGATATCTTGATAAGAACTTGTATTTACTTAAAACAGGCAATATCACGTTATCTTACAATTAGATTATGATTGGAAACGAGGAAATATGCGAGCAATTTTAGCTATAATATTTAAAAATTACTTTTTATTAATAAAATCACTTTAAAGTAGATTTTAAACTGGGAATTGCCAAGGAAATGTGCGAAGGTTCTAAGAACAAAATATAAGAAATATGATTTAATCAATATTATAATATATATACGAAATTTTTACAAAATATACACATATATGTATATATAATTCGTATGCCCTATTCACTCTTTTTCATCCAATTATTAACAAACATTCTCTTTCACATAACATTATACAACTAATGTGTATATAAAACAGATTGCACACATATAATTAATCGTATCTTTAATCAAGCAATTATTTCATACTGGTTTCATACTTTAAAGAAAGAATAAAATTTATATAATTAAACAGATGTAATTATAAATATATAAAGAAAGGATAATATTTATATAATTTCAATATCGCAATAATTATTAACTTTTACATATTTTAGCATACCAATTTTTACTAGCATCGCAACTTAAATTTACGCAATGCGGACATCGCGTTAAAAATTTAGGATTTATAGATTGTTTCGATTTAAGATGAGAATCAACAATGTCGGCCAAAGCGTCGATAAAAATAGGGTGATCATTAGGAGCCGCAGCCCTTCGTATTGTCTCGATACCGAGCTGAAAATTAAACATAAAATATTCTTGTTCGTTAATAAAATAAACAATAAAAATACGGAAGCGTTTCTTACTTCCTGGGCAAGTTCGTGACAATATTCTATGTCCAATTCATGGAGGGTTTCAATATGTTCATTTACAAATGCAATCGGTACCAAAATAAAATTTTTCTTGCCCTGTTTAACGTAGCCTTTTAATGCTTCATCGGTAAAAGGCCCTAGCCATGCCGTAGGTCCAACCTAAATATATATATTTCGTAATATGAAATGCATCAAACAAGAAAGATTTCTTCTAAATTAAAATTAACTTAATTTTCTTCTAAATTAATTTCGTTAAATTTTAAACATATACATTTATATGATATACCTTCGATTGCCACACTAAACTATATGGATTGCAATAATTTAATTCCTGCATGACTAATGCAACTGTGGCTCCAACTTCCGCGGGATAAGAATCCCCTCTGTTTACAACCTAGCGATCATATGGAAAAATACTAATTGAAATAATTTCTAAAGAATCACAAAAATAAATGTATATGTTAAAAATGGCAACCTGCAATGGCAATGAATGAGCTGAAAATAAAATGATAACGTCATCCCTTTTTTCTTTAGGAAATTGTGCAAGTTCCTGTTTAATCCTTTCAGCAAAAGTTTTTATAAGGAGAGGATGTGTAGCCCATCTATCTATTATACTCCATTTCATCTCACTTGGCAACTCTCTGCAAAGATGTAATTTACATCTGTTTCATGTACACATATATATGTCTTTTTATGCATTTCTATTCTATCTTTCATCCTTTTTATTTCAACTTTTATATAGCATATATATGTAAAAATAATGCATAAGAATGCATCAAATCATATATCTCATATATACACTTAAAAATAAAATAAATATACATATCAAATATTTGTGCATAACTTTTTCTAAGACTCTTATCTAAAAATAAATGAAAGATAACATAATAATCACCTAGTTTTATAATAATTGTATATAGCATTAAAACTGGAACCTGAAGTTGAACAACTATATTGAGGATATTGAGAAAAAATTACTGTGTGCTGTACTCTATCACTGAAAAAAGTAAATATAAAAGATATACAATTATCCAAAGATATACAATTAATTCAAATTATCTTTTAATATTAATATTTTTAGATTGCACATGTTTACATTATATTTAAGAAAATATAATATAACTATACTTGCGTATCCTCTCAAGAGTATCCTCTGTGAGAGGATCTGCATATCGAAAGGCAACGTAATATTTATGAGGTGCAGTTTCAGGCGAAATTTTATTTAATTTTTTGCATAAAAGTTCGCCCTGTTTATTTGTCCACTGCAGAATGGGTGATCCACCACCAATCTCAGAATATTTTTTTTGTACTTCTGGAGTACGACGTTTAGCTATCCAAGGACCTAATTTACTGTAACATAATTCTGTGAGACATCTCTCCTATATAATATTCACTATTATAATCACACAAATGTATTAAAATATAAAGAACCTTTGTACTGGTAACTGAATCATATCACGATCGGTCATTATTCTTAATAAATATTCATGGACCTGATCAATGTTGGCAGGGCCACCCATGTTTAACATTAATATACCAGTTTTTGGTTTTATGTTTTCATTATTTGCTAGATTTGTAGCAATGGAAGCGTAGCACCGTGTTGAAACAGAGAGTTTTGTACATTGTTGTCCTAAATAACATCATATTATTATTATTATGTAGAATTCTCTTTCATTTAACTATTATATAAAAGTAAATTATCTCAAGGATTAATGTAAACAATAAATTTGAAGCTCAGAATTATTCCACATGTAATCGAAGACTGCAAAAACTAACTTAATATATAGCAGTGTTCCGTAAACTTCATAAGCTTATATATCTTATACAATTAAGATGTAGAATGTTAAAAAATAACTACAGATAAAAATAATTAATATTGCTTGTCATCTTAAGCAATAAAAAATAGTTTAACTTCAATATTAATACACGTTGTGGCTAATAATTTCATGCATAAACGTAGAGGTTATATCAAGATAATATTAATATTCTCTTGTCATTAAATTGTCATTACATAATTGCAATCAACTGATTGTTAACTGTTATCACCGGATATAAAAGTATCACGGCAATCTACTTACCAAAACACAAATTCATTAACAACTTGCTGACACTCATGTCTAAATAGACAGTACTTGACAATCTAAGCCGAAATGTTTAAAATTGCAGGTAGTAAGTTAATGTTGCGATACAGTATGTAAGTTAATAAAAACGACGTGCACTATCACGATGACAGTAAGTACCGTTAGATAAGACGCGGCGATGAGGTTAGATTCGACACGACACAATTCATTCACATGCAATTGTGTATGTACAAGTGGAAAATGTAAATGTGTTAGTTGGCATCAAGTTGCCAATTCTACAAAGAATATTTCCCTAGACTGATCAAAATAATATTAATAAAAAAAAACATTGTTATGTTTTCTCTTATAATAAAAGATTAAATATATATGTTATTTATATTTTTATATATTATTTAAATAAATAATTATAAAGAGAAAGCCCCTTAGATGTCACTGCCATCTAACCATAAAGTTTCGAAACAATCTGTGGCAACACAAATGGTCTCCTTTCCACGTTGAAATTTACTGAACCGGTTCACGCCTAATAAATATCTATGTATATCTGTCTAGATTTTCGCATCTGACTGTGAATGAACTCCCTCCTTCGCTTACAACAACTGTGGAATTCTGACGTAACGAGAGATCTGGTCGTATCGGAATTGTGTCGCTCGACAATCAGGCCGAAGGGAATCGCAATAAAATAATGACGGAGCAAGAAAACGAGGAATTGGCACCGTCAAATCTCGGCACTCTCGAATTGTGAGTGATATACAATATAATATATCGTACGTACCGTGATCGCGCAACACTCATCGTGCATTACTCGCCGCTTTTACTTGACGTTCCTCTGTGTCTCTTGCAGCTGGGAGAACGCGTACGCCCAGGAACTCGACAACTTCCACGATCACGGCGACGTGGGCGAGATATGGTTCGGCACCGCCAATTCGCGCAAAGTCGTACGGTAAGTGAGCTAGGGATTGACCGCGAACACACCGTTTTACGCACCGCGAGTAAACAACACGACGAAAAAACGATGGACTTTCGCGCGAAAATGTAAACACGACGCGACCGAGGCAGTTCCTCGCGCGTTACTGATGGCGTCATCTACGAAACTATTTCTTCCGTTACCGCGTCGGTATTTACAATAGTAGCTTTATCTACTGTAGATAAAAAGTACTGTGCCGTCTTTTTCGAATATATATTTTTTATTATCTATAAAAAATTGTCTTCTCCTTTTTCTCTTAATTACAATCGAGAAATAAGTGTAAAAGATTTAATTATTTCAGATTTAATGATTGCATTAAAATAGTTTTGATTCTATATTTACGCTTGTCAGTTTTAAAATATATGATAAAGATTATATGTTGTATAATCTGAATATTTAATCTGAATATCTTATATATGTGAGAGTTTTGTATATAGAAAGAATGTAAGAGCAAATTTATTATTATTACATAATTTTATTCATAAAATATAAAAAATAAGTAATTGTTGACTATTGGGTGATTTTTTTTGTTAAATAAATGATAACAATATATAAAAATATGCAATAAATATCAGAGAAAAGCGCAGTGGACTTTCATTATTTTTAACAAAATCAATTTTAATTATTTTTCTATATGTACATACATAAAAATGAAGACATATGTGCGGAAATTTTGAAATTAACAAACAAGATCATTTTCTAGGTGGATCACCACGAAATTGGATTTAAATAGAGAAAGCGATAAAATAATCGACGTAGGATGCGGTAATGCAATGACTTTGGTAGAACTCGCGAAACAAGGTTTCGCAGACTTGACAGGAGTAGATTATTCACAGAAAGCGGTGAATCTCGCCCGTATGGTGTTGAATGATAATAATTTACCAAATGTGAAATTAGAAGTCTGCGATATTCTCAATAATACATTATCACATGACTTTAAACTTGTCCATGATAAAGGCACTTATGATGCTATTAGTTTAAATCCAGAAGATCCAACAGCGAAGCGACAGAGATATATAGAAAATATACATCACATTCTTTTGCCAAAAGGATATTTAGTATTGACTTCCTGTAATTGGACCAAGGAAGAATTATTAAAACAATTTACGAATCGTTAGTATAATTTATAATGAAAGTTTAATAGTTTTCTTTCTATTTTTCTAATAATTATATAAAAATATAATTTTTTACAAGAAAAATTGTTATGAAGACAATTTTTCAAAATATATATTTTTGTGGCAAAATACAATTATATTCTTTACAGATTTCGAACTCGAAAGTCAACTTCCTGCGGATACATTTCAATTTGGTGGACAGACAGGAAATACTGTAACACAATTGGTATTTAGGAAAAAATGATAATAAAAAAAATTTTTATGTGTATATTTATATATACATATTATACTACATACACAAATAAACGAGATATTTGTATAAAATAAAAAATAAGATAATTTGTATAAAGATTTTGATAATATCATCTTTTACATATGAGAATAAATAAATATTTCGAAAAAGTTCAAGATTTATTTGTGCACACAAAATGTTTAAATACATAACATGATATTAGAGTGAGAATAATTTCTACATATTTTTTAACTCTTATTACATTACAAAGTTTACAAAAGATATTTATATCATCATAAATTAAAATTTGCAATAAATCTCTATTATTAATAAATATTCTAAATATATACGGTAGCACAGAGAAATAAATACATTCTTTATCTAGTGCATTTATATTAATAATTAAGGTATTAACAAAATATTTTTCAGAAAGATTTACTTTGATGTCACACCTAAATTTTTTTACAGAGTTAAGATAAAAAATTTTTTATTATTTTATATGTTAAAGGAAATATGTTAAATTAGAGAATAAATTGTACTACAATATATAAATTATACTAAATAAATTATATGTGATATATAAAATGCATATGTGCGTCTACATGAAAATGTTTCTATCTTTCAATGCTCTTTAATGTTCTTAAAACATGAAGCTTAATCATACACTATAAAATTTACTACTGAAGCATCATTCTTATATCTCGTGTTTTAAACATAGTTAAATTCAACAATCTAATTCATCAATCTAATAATAAATTTTATCTAAATCATATATTAGTATTATATTTTTTTATCTATTTTTAATCTAATATTTTCAATCTTTCGCACTTGTCTTGTGATTATTATAAAACAATAGAATAATAGAATGTGAAAATTAAGATATAGTGCGATAGTAATTAAATAGCAAATTGTAATCATACAATAAATATATAAATAAAATTTATATAGAATATGCTAATGAATTGTTTACTTTAATTTAAATGAATTATAATAAATTTTTTTCTAATCGTAATAAATCTATTAAAGCGTGCTCTATGTATTATAGAATATGTACACAAGTACGAAAGAGATTATGTACTTACGATAGATTGATAATTACATACAAGATGATTTAAAGTTAATGTTTACTTTTTTAACTTTTTGTTACAAACGTAATCTTTATAATTAAAAATTGAGCTACACTCTATGATACAACAACATAAAACTAAATTAATAGTGATATTTATATTAATAAAAATTATCCAGAAGTGGCAAAAGCAAAATTATTTATTTTTATAGATTGAAAATGAATAAAAAGTCTACTTATCCATTATCTTATAGAATAAATGCAAAGCTATTACACATCTTATCACTTAGAATTTATAGGCTTTATGGATTACAATATATATGCATCAAAGAGAAGACGATTTGAAAATAGGTATAATTTTCCAAGTTTAAAACGAATTAGAGAATTAGAATTAGAAAATATGAGACTATTTACGTATATATTTGCAACATAGTGCATTTTATATAGTATACGAACTGTTCCAATAATTGCACATTTTTCCGTATTACTTAAATAAAGTAAAAATAGTGAATAGTTATATATATATATATATATATTTAATGTTAAAAAAGAAAGAATCAATTTAAATAATTGTAAATCTACGAAATATGTGAACGTCTTACTATTTCATATGAGCAATTATTAAAAATTTGTGAAAAAAGAAATTATTAATAAAATTTTTCCTTGTAAAAAAAAACTATTTTTCAAGATAGTCTGTCATGAAAAAAGTGCGCGACCACTGGAACAGTTTACATTCAGAATAGAAAATGTATAATTAGTTTATATAAAAGTGCTTTATCATTTTAAAAGTCGAATATATAATTATACATATATATTATACTTAAATGCTTTATTAAATTAATGAGATTAATGATATTCTTATAAATAAGTGTATAATCTAGCATATGTTCGCGTAAAATCGGATTCATAATTTAATTCGAAGAATTGTTATTTCTCTACCGTAGGTTATCATACAGGTTCAGGAATTGACAAGATAATTTTTTAAAGCTTGAAGATTTAGATATAGTTAAGTCTTCCAAGTATAAGCGAAGTAGCCAGAAAAATCATCGTATGCAACGTAAAGATCGATGAGCAACCTACAAAAGATATAAATAATATTTTCAGCTGATGATATTTTTAATATCAACACATATCATGGCACGGGAAAAAATAAGAAATTCTGTTATCTCATAGATAAATTTATAAAAATTTCTTAAACTTCCGTTATTATTACACACAACGCACATTTATCGCGACTCATATTTTAGATTACAAATAGAACAGCTAAGCGATATTTATTACGTCATTCGATTTCTTATTAATTGTGCAGAGATGATAAGTAATATTTAATACGCAAATTATTATCGTATTTTTTTAATTCTTACGCATATGTAGATTAAAAACATTCTGTTTTTCAGGGGAATCAGAAAGATATTTGCCAAATATTTATTTTAAATAAATATTATTTAAATATTATACACTAATTAAATATAGCAATAATAAAAAACTAACAGAATTTTTTCATATGTGTTTAACAGAATATTTTATGGCTATAGAGAATTAAAAAGAACATTTTTGTCTTATAATATATTGATGCTTCTTTTATATTAAACATAAAAATTTTAATAAATTTAATAAATTTTTATAAATTATTTCAATGTAAAATAATTATCAAATTGTATTTACATTTTTGTAGAAAATTAAATTTCGATAATGCATTAAAAAGCAATAATAAATATTTTTGTAATCTATAGAAATCGCAATATCAAATGTATATATATACAGGATATAATATATTGTCCCCACTATATTACCAAAAATTATTTGAGATGATAAAAAATGAAGCTTACCATTACAAAATAATGGTGTTTCTTGAACAAATCCATCTTGACAATAACATCGTCTTCCTAAAGAACTGTTTTGGATAACGCAGTGAGCATCTTCTATGCATTCTCCATCATCATTGCAGGATGCATGAAGCGCTAAAAGAAAAGAACGCAAATTTTAAAAATAACAAATGATATAAAAACTGATCAGAGAGCAATCGTGCTTTTCAAGATTTAGAATTTGTAAATTTACTTTTACAAAGATTTTAAACATTTATTCAACGTCTTATATATGTGTGTGTGTGTGTGTGTGTGTGTGTGTGTGTGTGTGTGTGTGTGTGTGTGTGTGTGTGTGTGTGTGTGTGTGTGTGTGTGTGTGTGTGTGTGTGATTGTAATACATACAAAGCTTTATTTAATTTCTCGAGCTCGAGCATAACTTTACGACGAAACTTTACGGCGATCGATTTGTAACTGCGATTAATTGCACTTAAAATGTCCGAGGTAATCATCGGCAACTTCGCCGAAAATCAGAAAGGAAACATGCATAGTGATCATTTAATCAAGTCAAATTGCCGGGTTTCCGGATCGTTTCACGAACCTCTAATATTACGTATCGAACTACAAATCACTTGGTTATACAGTTATACAATTACCCTATGCAGTTTCCAAAGTTTTGAGATTTAGTTCAATTTTATTGCATTGTGCCAGGTACGGTTATTGCTATCATTTCTATCAGTCATTTGATGTGATTTAATATAATAGTCATAAAGACGTCTTTACTTACGTAAGTAATTTTATAACTCGTAAAATGTTATAATAAATACATAATAACATTCACAGTCTAATTTCAAAAGAATAATGATTAAATGTAATATTTTTGCTGTCGTTCTATTTTTAAGCTTTCTCTTGCTGTGCAGGAATACTGCAGAAAAACAGGTAGTATCAGAACTGTTGAAGGTAGGTCGGGGCGGTACTCTTTACCCGTACCAATTTGCATAGATAACCATAGACCCGCTACGAACACCGTCATATGTTCACATATTGCAATACAGCACGTAAGTATATGCAAATCTTGGTGCAAATCCGAGTGCCTTCCAGTTATAATCATCCTTCCGAAGTTTGACTATTTCATGATATTAAAATAATAGACCTAACGAATAACATGCGAAACATCGGAAATATTTTGTCATGCATACAAAAACTTAAATACACAAGAAAAATGATGTTACGTATCAGAATATAGCGTGCCTAAATCCCTTTGAAAAATGTTTCACGGAAGCAGATTTTTGACAAAAATCAGAAATTAATTTTGTATTTTTGCAAATTTCGCGAAGAATATGATGCTCAAATTCTTATCAATTATTTTGGGACATCTCTTATCTTGGAGATATTTACATACTAAAGTCAATCTTGTCAAAAAACTGATCTTGTTATTTTTGTCTGTTATATAACGAGTAAATAAAATAATGTAGAACTAATAATGTAAAAATCTAATACCTTTGAATTTATTAGTGCAGGCACCATTAAGTGGTGCTGAATAATCGCCGCATAGACATCGGGTTCTTCCATCTCGGGGATCTGCCATACATGTTGTATTTTGAATTCCATCACAATCACTTTTTATCTTGCATTCGCGTGCTTTGCCAACTGCAATTATAGATATTAATCTATATAAGAAACCGTAATTTTATTTAATCCTTAATTAATTTCATACATTTTTAATCCATACTAATCCATAGAAATCCGTAAAAAATGTATGCGACACATTATTTCAGAATATATTACTGGTCATTAAATTTGCAAGTTATGAAATTAAAGCAATATATAAAGTTTGTTATATTCACTTTTTTCTTTATCGCATTTTTATTTAATATTTAAAATATTTATTCAAAGAATCTCGTTTTGTTTTTTATGTTTTTTTATAAAAATGATTAAAGTAAAATTATTAAAGCAAAAATATTGTAAAGAGTAAAATAAAATAAAATCTACAAATACAATTATATCTCAATTGTGCAAAGATGAGTATGAAGAACTTAGAATAGTAATCGTCAAAAAGTCATACGAATGAGAACTCTGACATTCAGCAAAGCATTAGTATTCATCTGCATTTCAATTTAACCTTGACTCTCATAAATATCATTTTTATTTATACGCAATTTTAAATAAAATTGTATTTAATTATTAAATACTAATTTACATATTATTATAAATGCCAGTATTAAAGAAATTTATGATATACATTTTTATATAATATCTTTCTCTATGTATACAATAAAATAATTAAATTTATACATATTGAGTAAATACAGTATATGTATGTACGTAAAAAATATTTTTATATAATTTTAAAGAGCATCAAATTAAAATTTATATACATAGAAATCTGAATCGGAGAAATCCATAATTATTATTCTAAAATAAATTAGAAATTCTATTTAAAATAAAATTAATAGACAAAAATTAATTAATAGCTTTACGACGTTTTTGAATTTTTTAATAAAACAAAGTTAAATAGAATTGCTATATACATTAAAATATTTTGTGAATTTGCCTTAATAGACGTTATTAGAATATACTTTAAAATTGTTAATCGCACTTAAGTTATTTAAACATATACTTTTATCACAATAAACACAAATTAATAATTTAACTGTGTAAAAAGTTTAATATATAATACATGTACAATATATATTTAATATATATAATATATTATAAATATTGTATATATATTAATATAAAAATTTAACATAAATTAAAAATTTTTTTAAACAAATACTTTTCTTCTAAATAATAATGCTTATTATGTAATACTTATTTAGATAAATACATGTCGCATTGTTAACTTCAAATTCGTATTATTTAATTCATATACGTACTTGGTGTTGGCGGCGGTGGTGGATTTGGATTTTGATTCTGTGGATTGGTCTTTCCAAAAGTAGTAAGAGCACAGGACAGTGGTGAAAATATTGATACGACCAGTAGAACAGATATAATTATTCGGACAACCATTTCGTCTTTCATGGTCTGTCACTCGTTATACAAATAATTGAATTATTATCACTTATAGTCACAAATCACAAATACGGACTCTAGAAAAAAGATAACTCACGAAGAGAAAAATCACTTCCTTTTCTACATAAACTTTTATTCCATTCGGCTTTTTTCTTTAATTTCTTAATTTTCTAACAAATTAATCTCGACCATAAACAGGATCACTTTAATGGAAGTCTGAATCAACGGCGGCTAACTTTTAAGTAAAAATACTTCTCGCACTTTCGATCCACTTACACGAAATACAAGTATGTTTGATTCCAAGACTGCGTGTTACAAGGACGTTGGAAGACCTTTTAAGCCTTCAAAGTACCCCCACTACGAAACTGCCCTCCGTGCTGCCACCACTAAAGCAGAAAATGCTCTACCATAAGGTGGTTACTTTACCACCTTCTTCGAGAATCTGAATACGAAGCTGGCCGGCTGAACTTCGATCGCCACGAAAGACGCGATTAGGTGTGACTGTGTTCTGTTACCGAACTGTTACTACCACCAAAATTTATGAGAATCCAACACATGGAGCCTAACTCCTTTTCGGAACGCAAGCAGAGAACAACCCTCCAAAGTATTCTCTGCTCTGCATCGTTATCATCTGCCATCTAGTCTTAATATAGATCCTCATACATTAGTGGTGGAATTTAGTAATCTTTACTAAATTATACGTAAAATTGAACAGTCAATAAAAACGTGTCTAATACCAATGTTTTCATTTTCGAGAAAGTCATTTATCTCGAATAACTTTTGTAATTATCTTCTGATCGTATCAACAATCTTTTAAGGTTTTCTAGTCAATTCGAAAAAATTTGATTTAATCTTTTTATGATGTAGCGTATATTTCGCAGTTACACGAGATTGATTTAAAAAATTTGCTTCATGCTGATGGCGCATGTGAAAAACAACTTATAAAAATGCCGCTATTTTTTTCATTAAAATATATATACGTCGAATCAAATATTTGATCATTTATATTAGTCAATGAAAAAAAATTATTTATAGGTCAGAAACATTAAATAATTTTTAAATACATTGTATTCCTGGCTAATATATATTGTTTACCATTTGTTTCATAAAAATATTCTTTTTAAACTTACATTATTCTTTGTTTGCATCAAATAGTTTGCGAAAATAAGCAATGATACTGCAATTGTAAGAGAAAGCATTTTATACTTTTTTTGTTATTTTACAATTGTTTTTAAACTTTTTATTATATTAAGAATAATCTAACAAGCTTAACAATAGTATAAGATGTCGCAGCACTCATTAAAATTCAAAAGATACATGCGAAAATATATTAATTATACATGTTCATTATCTCTTCTCTTTCGAAGTATCAACAATAGAAAGAATAGAACTGAGCACAGTTTTTCCCGTAAAATATATTATTTCTTAAAGCTTCTAGCGCAATTCTTATAAGAATTTATCTGAATATCTAGCACAGTTTCTCTGTTATCATTTGAAGTACACCCGTTATCGCGTCTCTTCGTCAGCGAATACGGTCGAGTTCGAAATGTTAAGTTTGCAGATTACAAAGGAGGCTCATCCGGCAGCGTGTGCACGAAAGCGAGGGAAAATTTATCGTCATGTTGCCAGTATTTTATGGCCGGACAATCGTAGGAATGTATTCGTCTACACGCTAAGTGCATCGCGCTTTGCAACATCTGTTTACAGTAGCGGTGAGACGCGTGTGAAATTGTCGTGTCGTTTTTACAACAACCGCGTCGCCTCTCGTTTCGACAAGGAAAAGCTCGCATCGATCGTCGATCACGAAGGCTCGCGTGTAATTCATAAATTTAACAAGACGCGTGCAGAACGTGCCGTGATTTACAAGGCAATTTGCCGGAATGCTCGTCCGGCGATCGAAATACTGATCGAACTGTCGTGGTCGATCTTGCATGTTTCACGAAACTCTGGTAAGGTGTAAGGTCAGCGCGCGATTAAACCCGTGATTGGCTGGGTGCTGACATTAATAAAGAAGCGCAACGCTATATCAAATCAATAACAAACTTGATAAGATCAGCCATCATACTTTATTAAACGTTCCATTTACGTAACTTTAAATATTTTGCAGCATTTTCGATCAGTTTAAATGTCAGAATTGTTGAATAAATCAATCGCATTTTTCTCGTGCACGATGCCGCGCAATTTGCAAAAATATATCCTTTATGTATACTCTTAATAAGTGATAATACGATACATCACATTGATACGAAATCTCAAAATATAATATCTTTGAATAAAGCGATATAGAGTTATTGAATTAATAACTAATAACGTCAAGCTCAATTGTCACAAAAATGTGTCTAGCCATATAAATACACACACACACACAAAAGAAGACATTTGTATAGCAGGATACAGAATTATAATTCAGAATTTATTTTAAAGTAAAAGTGACATCTTGGAAAGATTATGCTTTATCAAAAACTGTTATAAAGATATACGAGCTTAACCTACTTTCCCAGTTTTATAATCATTGAATGACCAATTGTAATCGCTATTCAACCAACGCATGGGAACCTTATCGGATTAACGCAACTACGTATAAATCGTAACAAATTAGCATGAATAAGTTCAAGGTCTATGCGCAGCATATGAGCAACGCACTAATTGTACCATAGCATGCTTTGTCGAATATTCACAGGTTTTACGAATAAATTTCATATGAGAGAATATTACATATTAAGTATAAATATATTAAATATTGCATATTAAATACAATAACATATTGTGCGACAAAAAACCATTAGAATGTATTTTATATAGACATAAAACATACACACACATACATACATACACTGTATGTACTATATATGTGTATGTATGTATTTATATTATTCGTGAATTAAGGAAAACCAGAGTTATGTATGTATCTATTATTCGTTCTTCTCTTTTTGATCGTAATAATAGTTTTTATAATAAATATGTGAGTGTGTGATAAGTGATAATCGGTATAAATAAAATATTTTAATATTTTTATAAATTATTTATAAAGTGAACAAAAAACTAACGTAATATATAAAAACAAGAATATTTATACATATATTATTACCTTTTATATGTTTATATATGATTTTTTAAATTTCAGCAGAAGTTCGTTCGAAACATAATCTTCATCAAATTTATTATTAAAATGTTCATGAAATCTATCAATGTAAGCAGTAAGAACTTTCATTTCTTGGAAAATTGTTTTCAAGGAATTTTTTAAAATAAGTTTACGTGTTGATTAACTTCTTGCAATGTATTCGATTGTTCTGTAATATAAAAAAAATTTAATTTAATACACACACACAGACAGTTAAATGAATAAATAGAAACACAAAAATGTCTCTAATATTACAATGTATTAATTAACACTAATAAAATTGTCATATGAAAGATGAAATTATATATATTTTACATAGCTGCCCGTAAATTCAATAAATATTATAAGAACTTTCTTATTTTTCTGAAGTGCGATACATATAATTTTCCAAAGTTATTTTATATATTTTATATATTTTATAAATAATAAGTGAAATATAACTAACCTCTTTCTTCTTCTAATATAATAATTAACATACCATATATATGTGTGTGTGTTGTTCCGTTGCATCATTCGTTTCTTTCTGTAATTGTAGTCGTTCTTTATATCATTCTTTATATGGGTTATCTTGAATATGTATTTTTTCCAAGAATTGTTTTTAAATCGACGTACTGTTGACGCCATGATGACTTTTAAAATGCAGGATACATGTAAAGGAAAATGCTACGAATATAATCCGAATAATCAGTTTCAGAAAAAACTATTTCATAGAAATTATTGTGTTTCACGATATTTAACATTTTATCATCAAATACAGAAGTTAGTTCCTTTTCCAAGATAAAAATACGTTCGTTACTTTCCAAAGATGTTTTAGTATTTCCGGAATCTAAAAAATCTTGTGTTTCTGTGAATTTTAAATGTTTCTGTTGTTGCGTATCGGAAATCTTCAGCGATAGATTCAATTCTTTGTTAGAATTGACGGTATCTGAGTCAAATTTATAAAAAAGTAAAGGGGGATATTGTTGTAGAGAGAGAAGAAAAGGATATTTCTTACTTTTCTTCTTTTGTGTCTGGATTATTAATTGTATTATTTATCAATTTTTGTTCTATCAAAAGAATTTATTTTGAAGAATAAATTAAATGCATTTTGCAAAATTCTTAAATCTGGTATGTTTCTCTCTTCTTGTAATTAAAATGCGTCAATCTTCAGATACATTACGCTGCGCGCTTTCTGTTCAAAAATTAGACCAAACGATAAGAATTTAATCAAACCAAATCATGTATATATAACAATAATATTTATAGTTGTATAGTAAGCCTCTTAACATTTATTAATAAAAAATATTATATGCAAAATAGTTTTCAGAGATCAAATATAAATGAACTACCGAGTAAATTATAATAGTTTGAATAAACAAATATTTTTGAACAAGCTAATAAACAAATATAAATTTTAAAGTGTAACACAGGCAATAAGAGCCAAATCGCGGATGACAATGCGTTATTCCAACGAAACTAAATTTTTTCGTTAGAATTAAATACCTGTGCACAAGGCACCAAATTTTACTTGGTCACGGCCAAGATTTAAAATTGGAATAATCTCTACAAGAGATTTAATTCCATACATCCTCTGTTCCCCCCTAAGGAAATAAATATAAGAGAAAAATATAGATCCGAAAGTCGCTGAATCGGGAATCGAACCCGAGACCTTTCGCTTGCCGGGCGACTGCTCTTCCAACTGAGATTCCCAACTCGATTCCCGATTCAGCGACTTTCGGATCTATATTTTTCTCTCGCATTTATTTCCTTAGGGGGGAACAGGGGATGTATGGAATTAAATCTCTTGTAGAGATTATTCCAATTTTAAATCTTGGCCGTGACCAAGTAAAATTTGGTGCCTTGTGCACAGGTATTAAATTCTAACGAAAAAATTTAGTTTCGTTGAAATAACGCACTGTCATCCGCGATTTGGCTCTTATTGCCTGTCTTACACTTTAAAATTTATATTTATATTACAGAGCCTTGTTAAACTCTTAACAAACAAATATATGAGTATGTAAAAATGTAAATATAAAACTCGTTAAGTGTAGTGGCAATAATTATTACAATGGTGTAAACATGCTTCTATTATTAATGTTAATTAATATTATGCTTATCTGAATTATTTGAGTCGGACACGACGTGCACACGTCGACGCATAAGGAAAGGGACGAACAGTCAAAAAACGCGATAACATTTTTTTAATACGTATTATAATAGTATATGTAAAAGTATGTTTGTAAAACTTGTACAAAATTATTACTTAGAATTCTAAATTCCAATGTGCATTTCAACATCTTCAATTTTGTTATCAAAGTTCTTATTAGAAAGTAATTTATCATTTAATTGCACGGTTTCATATTTCAATTCATCCTCTATCTTTTCAATATCAATATCATTTACATTAAAAGTGTAATCAGGCATGTTAAAATTGTATTTTGAAATATCGGCTGGCTTAAAATTATTAAGTGCATTAAAAATAATCCTTTCTTGACGCCTAATTTCAGAGTCATTTTCAGAATTATCTGAATCAATCTTTTTGATTTTGAAGTAAGATTGATTATGTATTTTATTTTTTTTTGAAATAAAAGCATCAATAATCTCCGTGTTCTCAATCGTATCCTCCAATGATGGATTTCTTCTCTTTCTTTTTAGATTCTTGTTAGATTCTGATATGTCTTCCGGTCCACTTTGTAGATTATCTGCAGAAGTAGGGGGCGCATTCAACCATTCAAAACTAGATATCGAAGATTTTGCAGTATTTGGCATTTTATCATCTGATAATATTGATCCATCTTGAAAATCAAAAAAACTTTGAATCAAATGTTCTGAAGACATACCAGAAGATTCAGACGATTGATTAGGTGGGTCTATAACAGAATCTGATTCTGAAGATGCATTGATTTGTTCATCAGTCCCATCTTTTGAAGAACTTTTTTCACTATGATCGTCTTGTATCGCAAATTGTTTAGTCGTTTCGAGAAATATTTGTTCCAGATCTTGTACACTCATCTTCTTCAAATTTTTTGTCAAATCTTCGGCATCTTTTGTATCTTGTACGATTGACATCCGTGTATCAAAATTCTCATCGCTTTTGGACGACATATTGCTATCATACGCACCATATTTATCTTCATTAAACCTTTCTAGTCTTAATAATGACATCAATAATAACACATTACAAGCGTTATTTTTTCTTTTTTTTGAGGATTCTTCTATTGATCCAATTTGAGAAGCAAAAGCACATTGAATCAAATGTTCTGAGGACATACCAGAAGATTCAGACGATTGATTAGGTGGATATATAACAAAATCTGATTGTGAAGATGTATTGATTTGTTCATCAGTCCCATCTTTCGAAGAACTTTTTTCACTATGATCGTCTTGTACCGCAAATTGTTCAGACATATCGAGAAATATCTGTTCCGGATTTTGTGCACTATTCTTCATATCGACATATGGATCATACGCATTATTATTATCTTCATTAAAAAATAATGGCCATAAATTATCATCAACGTTATTTTTTATTTTTTTTGAGGATTCTTCTATTGATCCAATTTGAGAAGCAAAAGAACTTTGAATCAAATGTTCTGAGGACATATCAGAAGATTCATGCGATTGATTAGGTGAGTACATAACAAAATCTGATTGTGAAGATGCATTGATTTGTTCATCAGTCCCATCTTTCGAAGAACTTTTTTCACTATGATCGTCTTGTACCGCAAATTGTTCAGACATATCGAGAAATATCTGTTCCGGATCTTGTGCACTATTCTTCAAACTTTTTGTCAAATCTTCGGCATCTTCAACTTTTGGAATCATAACATTAAGTGTACACTTTCGATTTCATTGAATGCATTTGGAGCACGATCTTCTTGATTTAACATCAAAGGATTAACATTTTCAGTAAAATCATTGTTAATTGCAAACTTGTTTAAGTCAATAATCGCTATATTGTTTTCAAGAAATTGTTTCCTGATATTAGATTCTTCGTTGTTATTAAAGGTAATATCGCTGTTTTCGAGCGGAAAATTTCCCCATGACATTATTATCTTCAAAAGTTTTTTGTCTTCTGACGATGTCATCAGTGGATTATTGATGTCACTTGCTTCCATTATATTCTTATTTCCCCATGACATTATTATCTTCAAAAGTTTTTTGTCTTCTGACGATGTCATCAGTGGATTATTGATGTCACTTGCTTCCATTATATTCTTATTTGACATGCTAATAGAATTCTGCGTACTCGTTTGCATACTGCTGTCTACATCTATTTCAATTGTCTTGCTTGGCATTAAATCTGGTTCTTTCAATCCTTTTAGAAAATTATTATTTAGCTCATCTGTAATTTCAGGTTTGACAAATGTCGCAGACATTTTTTCAGTTGGATGTGATTTCTGTATTTTGGACACTAGTGGTAAATATCTTTCACGAGTGATATCTGCAGTCTCATTTTCCGTTACTCGGAAATTATAATTCTGTAAGATCATGTAACAACCCCATCCGAGGAATAACGTTAATTGTAACAAAAATATCAATCTGATGCATCGTGTCCATTGCTTGCAACAATTGGTGTTATATTTGAGCTTACTTATAAATTCTTGTTTCTCCTGTTGTAATCCTTCTTCTAAAGTTTCTACGTCTTTTCCTATATAAATTTAAATTTTTATCTATTTATACATCTTATTAATAAAATGATAAAAAAATTATATTTAAATAAACATACGTATGTAATTCAAGATAAAAGAATATACGTTATAAAAAATATATATAATGGACTATGCCCAGTTTTATAGAAAAAATTGGGCTCCTAGTGAACAGCAATGAGACATGGCTAGAATTTTATGGCATCAATAAAAGAGATTAAGAACTCCATTGACAGCTAGGAGTCCCCTTAGTGCTAGAGCTATCTATGTTCGCTCATGTATCACTATCTTATCTGAGGTTTTATCGTTGTTTTCTGCATCGGATTGTACCAAAGACATTGAAGTAATATGTCTAGAATGTATTTGGTACAAGTTCATTAATCCGGCTAAGCCCCTGAACACGATCTATGCCGTCATGTCCAAGAAATTCGGATTTTATTCTTGTGACGGCGATGCTTCTGAAGGGGAAAAATGAAACTGCAATTAAGCAATTAAAAGCTTCTGTTTCGTACTTTGTGAGTGCCCCTCTATCGATTAACATGTAATTCATGACTGTTCACTCGGGGGCCCAAACTGGGCATAGTTCTTTCTTTCTTATATATATATATATATATATATATATATATATATATATATAATAAATTTAAAAATGAGCATGCGCGATAATAATTTTTTATATTACAAAACAATTTTTTTTGTAATAATTAGAGAAATGAAATATAAAAATAAAAATATGAATATTATATAAATGCAGACTACACTTTTGTATAAATAAGACTACACTTATAGATTTTATTACTATTTTAATATTTTAATTAATTATTTTATTATTTTATTTTATTATTATAATTATGGTATATGTAAAGAAAATCACACTTTTATATTTAATTATGATATATATATAAAGAGAATCACATTTTTATATTAAAAAACGAGAATATATATTAATAATTAATTTATTCTCACCATCTTTCCACTCCTTCATGATAAACACGTGAGTATTCACAAACTGAACAATTCTTACTGACAAGAAATGGTTAAATGTTTAGCGCAGTAGTATGAATAAATCTTGATCCGTCAAAGTAGCGTACAGAAGTGAAGAGTCGCGATAAAAACTGTCCCCCACTATGTCTTACGAGGAACTTTTTGGGGTCATCGTTTATCTTTCCCGGGTCATCACGCTGATGACTTCGTGCCTTGTTGTCAACAAAGCCTCATCAATTCATCTTGCTATTTACAAATTTAAACTATATTTAATATGAAAGATGTAAAAATTTAAAGAAATGTAATTTAAATTTATGCATTACATAATATTTATAAAGTTTGTTAAGATTGATTATAAGACTGTCAATTGAAAGCAATAAATGTACTATAAATTATCTTCCTCCAATCAATTATTATATTTTTTTTGCTTCTCTTTTAATTGCCGATATATATGTTACATGAGATTTGTTTTAATTTAAGAGTAACAAATGGGCAAAGAGCATGATCTTGGTGTAAAGTTGTAATAAAGCAATAATAGCAATCAGTTGTCAAACATTTCAGTTATTATTTAACCATCTTCAGTGACAAACTTTAGAACAGCAGTGATATCAGTCCAAAAACAACGATTTATGTCGACATATTAAACGGAATTCTGTTTAATATGTCGACATAAATCGTTGTTTTTTGACTGATATCACTGCTGTTCTAAAGTTTGTCACTGAAGATCTATGTCGACATATTAAACGGAATACCATTTAACATAGATTATTTGTGATATAATTAACGCGATATAAACAGACGAAAAATGAGACTATATATGAACATGTGATTTAAATACTATCATTTTCGGCTAATAAGATTGATTAAAGAAAAATGCGTAGTTAGGGTTCCGTTGGGCGTAATAAGGAATTCCGTTTAATATGTCGACATAGATCGTTGTTTGTTGACTGATATCACTGCTGTTCTAAAGTTTGTCACTGAAGATGGTTAAATAATAACCGAAACATTTGACAACTAATTGCTGTTATTGCTTTATTACAACTTTACACCAAGATCGTGTACGTGCTCTTTGCCCATTTGTTACTCTTTAATTATTATTTATTGAGCCTAACTAATAAAAAGCGTGCTAACTTATTTTATTTACTATATAATACATATATAGAAAAATTAAAATATTAAAAACAAAATTTGTGATAAGAAAAATTAAAGCAACACACAGAATATTATTTTCATATTTTACTCTCGTAAAATCGATCGACACATTTCTTCATACTTTCAGTCTCTGTTAATCAGATCGCAATAAGATCGTGGTTAGATAATTAGGTCTCTATTACCACAATTGTGATATAATTAACGCGATATAAACAGACGAAAAATGAGACTATATATGAACAACATGTGATTTAAATATTATCATTTCCGGCCAATAAGATTGATTAAAGAAAAATTGCGTACTTAGGGTTCCGTTGGGCGTGATAAAGAAACTAAATAGTCGACACGCGAGCCACGTCGGCTATATTCATTAAGACCGTTTTTACTGAGCGAGCAATGCTCTATGAGGTAAGCTTCCAATGACGTCACTAGTGAATTCAAGACATAATGACGTGGTAAAACGAAAAGAGAAGAGAGGTCAAGGCATATTATTCAAGTATATATCCTTCGTGCAATCGACTATAACGTATAGAGTGCTCTTATCAAACTGGTAACGTCGCCTCCGCATCATAGAAGAAAATTAACGGGTTAGGGTTACTGCGAAAGTAATTTATAATTTCAATGAATTTCACGGAATAACAATAATCTTTCTGAACATTTTTCAAAAAATTTAAGAATCAGGACATATATTATGATAGAATTATTTTGAAGAGTTAAATTTAACAGCAGTTATTTAAAAATTTTGTCAAACAATATATAAAAATAAAAAAATCACTGATGGATATTGTTTGATTAATATATCTATAAAATTAATAGATACATCCTGTTTGGATATTATTACTGCCTTTGTCGCATGCAAACTCATATGTTCGATCAAGTATTCGAAATTGATTTAATCATTTCTCATTTTTATGCTTCAAGATTGACGTCAAATATAGTGTGTAATTCGGCCAATTAATCTTAATTTATAGTTCTAGCTACGTGTTGTCAAGCACTGAATCATCGAGCAGTCATATTGTGGCCATATAGTTCACATCTCGGAGCTTTTGTTCCTTGTGAGTTGTACCATAGGCAATCCAGCGCCTATTCAATGCAGCTGTACGTGGTCGACGAACATTATGCGTCTCGCCAATGCAGATACGAGAGCTCATTACATTGACATTATTCAAAATTAACGTTAGTTCTTTTATCAAAAATCTCAAGATTGAAGACAATCATTTTCGCTATTATTATCGATGAATTTAATGTTTTTTTTGCCCAACAAAAATTAATTAAAAGAAAAGGAATTGTATATAAAATATTTTTCAAATGCGCACTTTCTGAATTATATACATATATTGTTCTAAACAAATTTAATTATAATGATACTAAAAAAATTATAACTAAGGAAAAAATATTTCACAATTTTACTTTAGCGTGCTGCGTCTATCTTTGATATTACAATTTGAATAATGCACTTCGAGCAACCTCGTGATCTTTTGTACCCTTCTACACCTGTACAATCTCCATTTGTACGACCTAAGCAGAATTACTACTTATACTATGTGACACAGATATAAAATCAGATTAAAAAAAATTACTCCTAACGATTGTAGTAATAGTGTACTGATTTTATCAAAATATGTGGTTGACAATTTGCTTAAGCAGATAACTATATCTTCTTAATTTAATTATATATGGTTAAAAATATAAAATGTTCTTGATACATATAAGCAATTCATATTTTATTAATATTTTGGTTTTAAATAATTAATGCAAATTTTTTATATTATTATGCACATTGACAAAGCACTGAAAAGGCGAGAACTTTGACTTTTAAAGTTTTAAACATGTGCTGACTGTTGCCTACCCTAAACGCAATTTACACGATTTCATAAAATACTTGATATAAAATTCAACTTCAAATTGAATTTACTAATTTAGCTGTGTGTGATAATAATGTTTATTGACCATTATAGTAATTAATTTAGTCAGTTAATAAATAATTAGTAGTTTTGTTTTCTTCAAATAAAATTTTTCATTAAAGATAATTTAATAAAACGAATTAAATAAAACTCATTTTTATACTCAAATATTAGCATATGTAATATATTTACATGTATAAGTTTATATGTATATCTATATACACACAGTTTAGTAAAAATGTTAAGTAAAATATATTTAAGTAAAAATCTCGTAAATTTTGCATATATATTTTCTCTATTTTTATAAAATAAATCTTTCCCGGTTATATTATATGTATTACTCAACACAATATGTCGACTAAATTGCAAAAAATTCGATACATGTACATGCACATCATGATATATGTTCTCTAATTTATCAATATGTAACGAAAACGTACTGAATGAAAATGTCATGCATATATACAAAATTAAATCGTGAAATGTGAATTTTAAACGGTGTTGAATAGCTGTCACAGATGGCACAAAGGTACACGTAAAAACAGGGAAATTCAATTATGAAATTGCTACAGATGCAAAGATAATATCAATCGATCATAATAGCATAACACAAAGACAAGGATAAAAACAATAAGCGTTAAAAAATCGATGTCAAATGATATTTAGGGATTACAAATTCTTTTCAGCGTGAATTACTAATTAACCGATTATCATATCACAAAAAAATTTTATATTATATATAAATCAATGTGTGTCTTTAAAAATCAATACTTAAAATTTTTAATGACTTTCTAAGTAAATGTTAATATTCATAAGCAATATTTAGCATTATTGCTAATCACAATTCCAAAGACAAAGTTCAGGAAACATGTATATACTTCAACGGTTCAAATTTATTGTATATTTATATATTATACGTTATATTAAATGCAGTTTTTTTTTTAATTTTATCTCTTGTCAAAATTAATTGTTTTAGGAGAGAATTAAGCACTAAATGTGAGTTTTTACATATAAATAGGTTGTTATAGATAAATATAAAAATTAAAAAAATAAAAATTTCAAGAGACTTTATCTGTACTTTTATCATATATAATATATAGATGAGAATCCAAGAAGAAATCCAAAATGTTCGTTTACCTGTTATTCGCGCGGTCAAGTAACGAAGGGATGCGAAAGGTCACACGCCAACCAGATGGACAACCGATAGAGGTCCGACCTGGCTTCTTTCTTCGTGAAATGGGTCAGAACTCGCTCACGCGGATAGGAAGTGACGCTACTACAAAGATCGCGGACATGAAATTCGAAGTTTTAACACACGGTTAGATCGTCGAATCTTAAATCTTCTTGAACTTTCTGATATTGTAAATTGCTGATATAATTAAATTCAAATTGAAATTGTAAAGCGACATAACACTTAAAAATTAAAAGTTAAAATTATTGATGCTATAGGTATTATTATCTCTCTTTTCGCGATGATTATTTCTCTGGATGTGTTATTTTATATTACAAGCAATTATCATGAAGAAAATGTGTACCTTAAGGTTTGAAATACTAATGTCATAATAGTTATATCCATAATTTTATTTACACACTAGAGATGAATTTAATCTTATTAGCCTTGAAAAATATATCGTAAGAATTTCTAATTAATTTGATAACATAATTTTATAATCTGATAACAATTTTATTATATATAAATTTTAATAATAATTCAGAACAATTTTATTATCAAATAGTATAAGATTGTAATATGATTCATAGAACAATTATTTTTTGTTTTGCTCACGATTTCTTGAAGAAACAGTTAAAAGGCGTAACCAACCATTGCAATTATACACCTACAAAGTCACATTGATATTATCTATAAGTTACAAAGAAAACGTAACGCAAAGTTCACACAAAAATTATGACTTGTGGCTAATAGCTTTGCGTTTCTCGCACTGTGAAATATTCCGGCTACATACAAGTATGACGGATACACGCGTGGTTAATGTAGTGCAACAAAAAAAAATAATAAACGAATTTAAAGATCTGATAATGCGGCTGGTTGCACCGTAATTCTCCGTGTAA